TGCGCTGTTGCCCCCAACCACACTTGGAGTGGGTTGTTTCCGTAGGTGGATTTTTGACGCGGGTCTTGCCCGTGTTGAGATTGCGCTGGAACCCCCATTCCCTATACTACTTCCCTTGGGTACATTATGAGTAGTTACAAAACCTTTATCCGCAAGTCAAATAGTTCTGTAAATGTATTATGTGTCGACAGCAGTTTTCTAGCACAGTGAACATTGCATGACAAGAAGTTTAATTTGAGTTGTGTGCAGAACTGGGGTCTGAGTAGTCTCCCTCACAGCCGCTTTCAGTGTCGTCACGCAACGCTTTCTCCCCTGACTAGCTACTCAGGGGAGAAAGCGTTGCGTGACGACACTGAAAGCGGCTGTGGGGGAGACTAGGGTCTGAGTAGATCTCTCCATTTTAATGGGAAACTAAATGCTGCATGGGGAACCGGCGCTATGTTTAATTGCAGCACTGTGCCATAATGTGGCGCTGTGCGCATAATGCGGCGCTGTGCGCAAAATGCGGTGCTGTAGTGCACATAATGCGGTGCTGTGCACACAATTCGGAGCTGTGCTTTAATACTGGCACTGTTTTTTAGTGCCGGCTCTCTGTACATAATGTGTGCATAATTAACAGCTCAAGGCAAAAGACAGTATTTGTATGATAGCAAGCGCTTGCGCGCGAAAATGTCAAGGGGTGATGACTTGAAGATTAGCCTGCATTGATCAAGCTCGCCTGTCACTTATGAAAGTCAGTTCACACAAGTTACTTGGGATCACTTTGCCGGATCAGGTTCTGACTTTTGAAGGCCCAAGTAGATTGTCTACGAAAAAAGTTCGCTATGAGGATTGGACTATTGAAAAGAATAAACAACTGCCTCCCGTTAGAGAAGACACTCAGTTTCTATACAGCTACCATCAAGCCAGTTATGATGTATGGCAGCTCAGTTTGGACTTTAGGCCACAGCTAGAGCTACGAGTTAAAGTGGATACATTTTAAGAAGAGGCAAGAATATATAGACTAGTCTGTATTTTATTTAAGAAAGTGTACCGCAGTTGCCAGACTAAATGTTTAACTTTAATTTCTTGTTCTCGAAGTCCACATGCACAAGGTATAACGAGCACGACTTTATTTGTCCCCGCTACAAATATGAAACTTAAGGCGGTCGCTCCTTTTCAGAGAAGGACAGAGAGAAGTCTAAGGAGTGGCCAGAACTATTTACATGTGTAGCCATTTTAGTAAACTGACATGCTCTTTTTAAAAAAGCGCTAGATGACAATTTAATAATTATTTTAGAAGTTCAGTGATCGTAGTTTAAAATTAGTTAAATAAACGTTCATGTTGATATTATCAGTAATGACACTACCTCAAAGAATGTGTGGTGAACCTTTTAGGGCTTGATGCCGGTTGGGGATCTCATGATCAACGGTACATCTCTATCACAACCCCCCTCCTTCCTTGCAATTAATTTTCTTCTCATGCTCTTATCAGAATTGACACTAGCGGTAATCTCGTCTTTTAATATAGACCAAAACATATAAAATCGACTGATGCAGAATTCGAAAACTGAGCCGGGCTCGCTGATCATAGCCTCCTTTGCAGACGTTATTTGTGTGGGTCTCTTAGTGGGGGAGGGATAGGGGACCGACACAAATAACGTTTGCAAAGGAGGCTACGCTGATCATGGCGTCATGAAAAATTGCTGAGCCATTAGTGAAACTAATATTGACTTAAATTTCAGCGAATGAAATTACTTTCTGACAAAACCAAAATCAATAGAAAGACAGTCATGAAAGAAATTAATGAATGTTTTTAGAGACGCTTTCGAAACTGCCATACACAGCTCGTGATCTACAGTCAACTGAAGATTACATAGATTTTAAACTGAAATCCTTAAGAGTAACTATGAAATATTCAGCTATGTGAATTGTTGGTCTGTACTATTCACTGCTCATACGAACTCTGTTGCAAATCGTTGGGTGAGTATGGAAATATGCACTATTCGTTCTACACTACCGAACGATCCTCGCGTATGATATTTTTGGAAAATCAGTCGAACTCCATTGTCAAAACTCAAAGCTATTTTACTCAGTGAATCCCTACCGCTGATATTGAGTTTAGTGTTTAGATGTTTGTATAACTAAGATGATAGGAATGATTACGATTGTGTGATCTCGAATATAGAAAAAAAAGTAATCATAAAAGTAATCACACAAAAGCTCCCTTCGAGACCTTCAAGTGTCAACAAGTGGATTATCTTTTATTCCCATAAACAACTATTTGCAAACTTATTTTGAATTTTATAACCAAAAATTACTATGCTGACAACGCGTGAAAGGCAACTATAAAAGTGGTCATTGGAAAAATGCACCGCACGCACGCCTTATACTAGCAATGCTTCTTAAAAAATACCTGGCTTCTCCTTTGGACATAGCTATTCAACATTACAGTCTATGGTAGGTTCATGATGATTTTAACTTGATTCAGTTATAAGTTAAACTCTGATTACAGGGAGAAATCAACGTTTTACGAGTACTGAGAATGAGAGATAAAGAGACAAGACAATGTGGCTTGCCAAGTGTTGGCTGTAAAACAAGTACCTGCAACTCGCTTACAATGTCTCAACTTACAGAGCATTACAAGAGAAAGCAAAGATTAAATGATGAAATGCGTGATAAAACCTATAACAAAGACGTTCCTCGTCGAGAAATAAAAAGGCCGTACTTGTTAAAACTGCCCAAAATTATTCAACAACAACAGCCTATTATTCAGGTACCTCCAAAAAAGGAATCAGGTACTAGCAAAAATCAGAGAAACTCGGTGAGTGAATTAAAATTACCGGTTATTAAATCAGAAAATGAAAAGAAAACATCAACTCGAAATGAATATCAGCTTAAAGACTCCAGTCAGTTAGGAAGAGGGTCAGTAAATAAAGCCTTCTACAGCTCGGCAACTGAATTTCGTGCTGGTCTCAAAAGAGAGACGTCTAAAATTGACCAGGGAATGGATCAAAACAAGCTGTATGACGACAGTAAAGGAATTGAACAAAGGGCCGATAGACTAAATGGAATTGAAATGAAAATTGACTGCCGAATCACAGAAGCACTCGACAATCTAAGAGTACCAATTGTTGATTTGGAAACTAGCACAAGTACAAATAATGGCCCTAAGACAATCTCTTGTAATGAGTATGCTAAGAAAATGATGCTACGTAAAAAGAAATCATGGAAAGATCGAAGAAGAGAAGCGAAACTCTTTGATATTAATCTCCTAAATCCTCAGCGTGCCATGCTTACGTCATCTGCCACGGCTAGGGGATTAAAAGTTCTAAAAGCGAATGAAGTAATGATTTACAGATTTTGTTTATCGAATTACAGCGAAGTTGATTTCCACACTGTGACAGAATAGCATCAGTGCCTGAATCCTGAAAGAATTAATCAACAGTTCGATTATATATTCTGAACTGAAATACACCCTTCTCATAATGTCTGACAAGTGCACGAAAACGAGGTCACCCAGTCAGTATTTCACAATAAAAGATATAAAATTACATGAAATGACTTTAAAGAAGAAAAGTATCAAAAATGACCTTTGTTTTGATCTGAATTAGCGCTAACAGCCTTTATTTTGATTGAGCAGCTTGGCTCAACCTTGCAAGATGACTGGGTGACCTCGTTTCCGTGCGTTCATCAGCCATTATGAGAAGGGTGTATGCCCCCTGGGAAGAGTTTACCAACAAGAGCTTTTACTCCACTTGATTTCGGTTATCGATATTTTCTCGTATGATCATGATATTGCTATAATTTCTGTTTTTATGGTATTGCGACTACTGCATTTACCCAAAGGGACCAGCATTTCGCAGTCCCCGCGCACAAATTAGTACCCAATCCCCGTCGTTCTATTCAGAGCTATCATGACTATCATGCCTCTTCAAGAAAAACAGCGCTGACGTAATAATGATATTTCTTGATAAAAGGTAAAACACAGCCGGGATTTTAATCCGTGCCCTTTAAACTCGAGTTGATCAACCCTTTCTTCGCATTACTTAGCTAGCAATCAGTTTGGCTGTCCAACGAATAGATAAATTCGCTTAGTCCAGACCTGAACCAGTTTTTTATCGATCCATCAATCTAAGTATGAAATAGAGAGCGGATAATACATAAAAGTAGCTAAATGTTTATTGATTGGATATTTTCAATGCCCGCGCAAGTCTCTTACTTCATTCCTCTTATTCCAAGTGTGTTCAAGCGGAAGCGATGTTATGGCTCAGATAGATATAACGAAAGAAGAATGGCTGTTCCACATCTCATGCATTTTAAAAGAGAAGTTGTAGAGGGCCACAACATAGTTAATGGAGCGGAATGGTTAGGAAATCTATTGTTCTATGTTTTTGTTCGTCTTTATCAATCGTTATATGACATTGACAGTGCACAGTGAAGGAAAAGTTTCTCCATTTGTTCACAGTATTAGGGAATATAAAAGTTTTTTTACCCTTAAAAATCGTTCTAAAATATGTATTATTTGTTAATTAATCCTATATGATTAATATTTTAAGTTGTTTATTGAAAATGAAATTGCCCTTTTTCATGCTTTCTTATTTATCATCTAGTAACTTAACTATATCTGAGCGGGACTATTTATTCGCATGGTTTTTGGTCATGGAATGAAAGTTTTACTTTCAAAGTGTTCATACATGAAAATAATAAGGAAATGAGCATTATCAGCCATGCTTGCTTTGGTTCATTGTGTACCGTCAGTAACACGTGATGGTACGATTCAACCARGAGAATATGAACTAAGAGAAGGAATCCCCGTGCCCACTTGTGCACACTTTGATGCTATGTGCACACTTTGATGCTATTTTTAGAATCTATTCTAAAAATATCATCCAATGATATCATTTGTTTGATCGTTTGATTTGCTGCACGCGCATAGTAGGCGCGCGCACTACGCTGTTTGCTAACGTTTTCTTGTGCTTTTCTTATGTTCGAATGTTCAAATCTGCCCTCAAGATGACGATGTAGGTCGAAAGCTTTGGAAAATAAATTTGAAATTACTCCAGAAAGTCGAACAAATTATTACTTCAATTTCCTGTCGTATTTGCCAAGCTTTGTACGTGCACATTCATATTCAAACGTAAGCAAAGCGTAGAGCGCGCGCAGTAAATGCGCGTGCAGAAAAACAAATGGTTTAAAAATAGCATCAAACTGTGCACATGATGGTTACAAGGCTATATAGGGGGGATTCCTTCTCTTAGTTTATTTTCTCTTGATTCAACATCAAAGGCAAAGCAGTAGGCTTTGTTCTATGGAGTTTCCAAACCAATTTATATATCATATGTGAACAAATGAAATGTAATTAAATGCACAAAATACACCTAATACTAAACTATTAATAAAACGAAAAATAATAATAATAAAGATTGACCAAAAGTCTCTTTTAAAAACAATGCGGCTTTAGCTGACTTGAAAAGAAAAACGTTTGCGATGAACCGATCTTTAAATTTAATTGGTAAACATCTTCCATATATTAATAAGGCACTGCATTCCGCATTCAATTTTATTCTACTAGGCGTGAAAATTCATTTTGATCGGCTTCATAAGATCTTACGGCGTGGGGAGGGGGGGAGGGGGAGAATCTATCAGGAACCATCCTGGATCCGGCTCCTCACTAGCCAACTTTGCAAGCGTCCCGGCTTAGGGGATTTTTAGGTCGAGCGTTTTAAGTGTGACCCCTTTTTTTAAGTCCCATCCAAGGAAAAATTCGGATTTGGCCGGAGAAAATTAATGACGATGGAATAACAATATTCTTTCTACTTTAGTCAGGGTGCATAAAGTCTGTAAATCCTATATCAGATATACGGCAACCAAGTAACCGAAACTATAAGAAAACAGTAACAAAACACCTGATTTGATATTAATACGATATCAATTAGTTTAATTCGTCACGTGAATACAAAATGCACAATTAAAGGGTTGTCAGTCTTTAAGTTTAGTTTGCCCTTAACGTTTACCAGTGTTAAAGTCGTGCTGCACGAAGGCGCCGCTAGCACCGGGCATGAGTCATTTTAGTAACCTCCGCTCATTCTGCTTTTTTGCAGCATGTTAGTTTCATGTCCATCTGGTCAGGTATCTGTTGCTTATGTCCATGTAGAGAATATTCAGTTAGCTGGCTACAACATTTGGCAAATAAACATGAATAGAAAGTTTTCTTCCAAAATCTTCTTCTTCTACTTCATATGTCGCACAAGGCAAAGCATCATCCCGTCTATTTTTTGCATCGTTATCTTTCGTTTTGGTGTTTTTATCCTTTTTTGGACGAAAAATTGCATGTCGAGCCCATGGAACAAATGGACTTTCATTTCTAGGCACTCCAGTCCTATATTTCTCTCGAAACTTCTTAAGAAGTTCGTAATCTTCTTGATCCAAGGAAGACGCTGTTATCGACTTTGACTTTAACTTTAAGCCAAATTCGTTTTCCAATAAATTTAAATTATCAGGATTTACCTCGAAACAAACTGGCTTCGATTTTCCTCCTAGAAGAATGAAAATTTCTTCCTCTCCAAGTTCTGCATTACCAAACCCTTTACAATGCTTGAATGGAAACGCTAGACAACGCGATCGCACATCTCTTTGAATTGCCTTTCCTGTTAGGGTGTCATGGCGAGACTTTAGCTTATTAAGAGAGGAATACAGTTTATTTAAAGCTACAGATTGAGTTCCTTGAGTCTGGGATTTCCAAAGAGAATCATTTTGTCCACCAAGTGCAAACGTTTCTGAATTTCCTAAACTTTTATCTAGAAGTCGTGTGTTATTTGAAGGCGGCTCACCTCGGACTTCCAATTGTTGACCAGCACAGAAAACATCTGACAGTGGTGGCTCAGGTTTTACATTAACAAAGTTTTCAATTGACTCAACCATCATGGTTCCCCTATCGTGCTTTGTTAAACTACTATGGCTATCATTTGCTTGTGATGTACCACTCTTAGACACTTTATAAATTCCACGCCGATCACATGAATGCATAGCTGGTAGCAACTCGCTTTGTTGTGATGTTGAAAATTTCTTCTGTACAAAAACTGATGCATCTCGCTGTCCTGGCACTTTGTTTGTTCTTGGACGAGTTTTCGAGAGATTGTAATTTCGTATCATTGTGGCAGAATCACTCGGCCTTCAATGGTTTTCTTTTACAATTTTTTTACAAACATATCAACTGAACTTAGGTTAACTATGTACTTAACAAATCAAATGAAGCGTACATTTGTTATTGTTCACTTTTGCCTTGGTAACTACAGCATAATTGATATATATTAGCATTAGTTTTGACAAGCATGGTCCAAATACAATAGACAGAGTTATTTCACTATTGATATACGTCACAACAGCTTAAATCCAATAAAGTCCGAGAAATTAATAGCTTTACTTATTCAACGGCGCTTCAGGTTGAGAAAACAAAGCGTACACAGTCGGTCTGTGTCTTTAATTAGCCAGGTGTTAGTATTTTGGGCAGACTGTTTTGAGCTCAACTTAGATAAAAGTGCATGAAAGGTTAAAACTCAGAACAAAAATATAGTGTCCTCCATAGCAAAAATGAGTGAGAATATCAATAACAATGCACTAGAAACCTCCTTATAGTTTGGGTAAGAAGACCACATTCTATATTAATTCTGTATCATGTGATCTTCTTATAAAGCAGTTGTGGACATATTTTGCTACTGCAACTGCTAACATTTTGGGCGGACTCATAAGTAGCAGAAACAGCTCATTCTCATTTGACAAAAGAGAATCATTGTTTATGTTTTTCATGTCCTTGAAGGGGTCTTCCCTTAGATTTGAGATAGCGTACAATGAAGAAGGAAGTGCCTCTCGGCTTCTACGCTTATCTGGGCAATGGAAGCACCTCCTTTCTTCTGTTTTTTTTTTTTTTTTTTGCATTCCCTTCGGAATATCTTCCCTTTTCGATTTCAAGGTCGTGATTACTAATTCTCAATTTAGTTAATGATTTTCTGTGTTCAAAATTTTTGACTTCGATTGAATAGTTTTAAAACGAGTAATCTGTTTTTACCAGACGATATGATACCCTTCATTTTTTTTTTTTTTTTTTTTGCCTTATTAGGGGCGGCCTCTTCTAGCTTTTTTACCGTTGAAGAGTTCCCCTAGCCAGACTTGAATTTCTATATCCATTAATCTAGTTTTAATTATTTTGAATGGATGACTTGAACGATGCAATTGCAGTTTATTTCAAGCCAGATATTCCCTAAGCCGCTTCGGCCTATTAATAAAGATTTTACTTTATTAGACCAGTTATTGTTGTTTGTTACTAATGACTCTCTATATACATTTGCTGACAGTTTTTGGTAGTTCTTTACAGTGGCGGATTCAGGAATTTGTTCAGGGGGGGGGGGGGTACTGCGCACAAAATTAACCTAGGGAGGTGTGCAACATTTTAGAATCAAAGGGGAAAACATTATTTTGAATTGGTTATCTTCAAAGTAGGGGCACAAAGCTATCAGTCGAACCAGGGAGGGGTGCACTCCCCCTGCACCCCTCCCCTGGATCCGCCACTGCTCCAGTTTTGTTATGTTTAACCAAAACTTAACAGATCTTAATTTTGCATTTAGATTTAAGTTGACCTAATTCGGTTAGACAAGCCGAATTGGTAGCCTTTCTTCCAACCCCAAGTAACATTTTGCAAAATTTTATATGAACTGATTTAATTGGATTGCCAGTCTTCATATTGTCTGTGCCCCAGACTTCACTACCGTAGAGAAGAATCAAATAATTTTAATGTTAATGTAGGGTCATGGTTAAAAAAAACATCCCATTTCTTTTTAAGGCTGATTTTTTAAGTTATTGTTGTGCAATCGAGAAATTCCCGAAAGCACTTTAAAGGTTAGACCTAGACACTTAGCTTGTACAGCCGAACGTTTTCAAGGATACGATCCCTATAGCGAAAGGTATAATTGATTATAAGTCGTCCTGCTTTATTAAATATCAAAACTTTTGTCTTCTCAATGTTCACTGTTAACCCATTACTATTGGAATATAAATTTAGTTGGTTAAGTAATGATTGTAGATCCTTCGGGTTTTTGCTTAGTAATACTAAGTCGTCAGTGTATAGAAGACAATTTAGAAGCGATCCATCGATTAGAATCGGATCAGCACTCACTTTCAGATTGTTTTAGAATATCTGGTAAGTCGCTAAGAAATAGATTAAAAAGAATGGGACTTAGCATACAGCCTTAATTCACTCCCTTATAGCATTGAAAAGATTCTGTTATCAGCCCCTCCTGTTTTCTAGCTGAAAAGTCCTCCTTGTACATTGACCTTATAATATATATGAAGTTCCCTTTTACGCCGGCCTGCTCGATTTAATTTTGGAGAGCAGTTTATGCCTTGGTATGCAATCTTTTTAAAGTCGACGAAACATGAAAACAGCACATTTGCTTTACGATTATTGCTGAATTTAACTTCTCGGTCGACTAGATTCTTTAGCAAAAAAATTCCATCGATTGTGGAGTGATTTTTTCTAAAACCTAATTGCTCATTTTTGATGATACCCTTGTTTACAATTTAGCTATAGAGCCTTTGGTTCAGAATAGATGTAAAAAGTTTTCCTATGGCTGACAGGAGAGTTATCCCCCTATCATTTTCTATATCCTCCTTGTCACCTTTTTTGTGCATTGGAACAATTACCAGCTCTTAGGAAAATTACCGGAGACCACTATTTTGTTGGAAAGTACAGTGAGAGGCTTACACAATGCAGTCATACCTAGCTTAAGGACCTCGTTTGGTATGTTATCTATTCCTGGAGACTAATTTTAGCAATAATGTTCTCGGATATTCAAGACGCGGGCAATGACCCCCTCCCCTGCCCCCTCCCCCTATAGATCCGCAACATACGTCACGTGACTAGTGAAGGATTATGATTATTATGGGATGCGGATGTTATTGCTTGAATGGAAAACAAGAGGACGAAGTAAGGCTTTAGAAAAGACATGAACAGAGCGAGAAATAACGGAATCTACGCCGCTGAGACGATCCTAAAACAGCGAACTAAAGATGTAAGACGTTAAAGGAACATTAAGTTATAATTTTGTGTTCATTATTGATGTATGAAGTATTCTTTTCATAGGGTAAAGTTTGGTATCTAATGAAATGGAAAGGCTATTCACCAAGGTAATTTTCGATAAGCTAAGTCAAACTTTAGAAGTTAAGCTTATATACGATTTTTATTGAGTGAATTTTGAAAATAACATATTCTAAACTATCTTCGATGTTGTTTATTGGAATGTAGGTTTAATACTTGGGAACCAGAAGAAAATGTTTTAGATGACAGGTTACTGAAGGCATATCGAAAGCGGGTTGCAGAAAGGTAAGATTATAAGAAACGAAAACGAATAAATGAAAAATAAATAAGCATCACTAAAAGCTTATAAACCCTTAACACTTAAGTAACCAAGAACTTACGAACTTGATAAATTTTTAAGCACTATTAGTGAAAACCAGTAAATAAGTAAGCTTATATGGCGCAGAAATGATTTCAGCCCACTTTGTTTTTCAGCTAGAAAATAAGCATTGTAAAACTGCTGCTTTGTTGCTTAAAAGATAGATTCATATGTACTTATTGACTGAGTGGGAGGGCCGGACAGGAAAATATTTGGCTCGAGGTCATGTCGTACGGACCGAGCGCAGCGAGCCAATTTTTATCGTAAAAAAAGGCTGAAAGATCTTGCTAAACTTGATAAATACAGCGCGCGTAAACGAGAACCAATAGGAGAATTCCTTTTTATTTGATTGAAAAGAAGCCATTTAACAGTCACTGTAAACAGGTGGCACATTTCAAGAAGTAAAATTGTTTTTAATACATTGAAAGTTTTAAGTTGTTTTAATACACTTCGCAAATAGCTATTTGGTCAAAAGTCGGGGAAAAATAGCAGCTTGGGAACTCAAGAATGTCTATGTCAACTCTAAGTATTTTCATGGTCAAATTTCAACGTTTTTAGACTTAGTTAGTCTTCTTCATCTGACTCGATCATAAAACGACGTTTCTTGGGTTTGACCAGACACGAACTAGAACTTTCTTCATGGCCTGAAAGAACAAGATTCTGAATGTTCAATACTCCAATGTTTGCTCCCCCAAAAAAAGAACCTGCAGCGGCAGTTGAACTTGTAGTCGGTTGCGCTGGGAGACATGATTGCTTGCTGCTGGCTTCGTGCTTGACGTTCTCAACACCACTCAGTATCTTCGACATGTTTCGTTGTTGGCTCTCAGAGGCAACCGCATAACTGTCAAGGCTTTTAAGGCTCTTATGGCCACTCAGTTGAGCGACAATGTTGTGTGGAACACCAGCATCCAGGAGTGTTGTGATACCAGTTTTACGTACGGAATGGTTGGTAATTTTACCGGCTTTTGACTTCGTGAACTTCAAATCTTTTGTTGCTTGAGACAGGAATTTGCCAATCTTGTTCTTTCCCATCGGTCTGTTTAGGAAGCAAACTTGATCATTTGGCATCCTTCTATGATTTATAGCAAGAAAAAACGGACTTTCTGGACTTTTGGCTTCTTCGGGACGCCTGTAAACAAACTGCTTATAGCAGGCCACAGGACATTTCTTGTCGCCGCTCTCATAAGCTCTTGGTCGGAAAGCTCTCTGGTGTTCATTTTCATCGCCGTGTCTGGTTTTAGTTTCTCTTTCTTGGAACCACTCTACATACTCTTTGCCATTTATTTCATCTTTCTTCAAAAGTACGTCTCCAAACTTCAGCTGTCTCGCTTCGTGTCGTGCTCTATGACCAAAATGCAAARTAATCAAGAACCACATAGTACGGGAAAGGATCTCTGGATCATGGACTCCAAACTCGTTTTCATTAAAAATAGCATCAATATCTTTGCTTGTCAGAGGAGCAGTAGCATTTGGCTTGTTTCCTTTGCCCTCTTTTCTTAATTCTCGTCGTCTGGACATCAAGGCTTGTCTGGAAAGCTTAAACTCTTCAGCTTTTAAGATGTTTACTTTTGCATTTTTATTGTCGAGGTATCGCTGAATACTTCTTGAGAAGGACGACATTGTATCAGGTTCGTATAAAGTATTGTCTGTCTTTTGTCTTTTGCCTTTATGTAAAAGTTGGAAAGAAGACTGTCAAGTTGAGGCGGAGGGATATTCTCAATTTCTCTTTCTTCACCACATTCTTGTAAAAAGCGCTTCAGTACGTTCATGTCATACTTAGTTTTGTTGATTGTACTTGTTTTCTGTTGTGCTCGGATGTATTTCTGTATTTCACCGTCATTGAGCAGATTTGACTCAAAATATGTCGCTTGCTGAGCCAGTTCAGTGTCTGATATCTCTTCTGGATAGTAGAATTCGCTTTCGTCGTGTTCGCTTAAATTGTCAGTCATTTTAGCTTCTTTTTAAATGAAATTTAATGGTTACATCCGAAGAGGGCCGGACGGATTTTGAGCAGGGCCGGACAGGTTTTTCCGGCCCGCTTACGTCAACCCGTCCGGCCCCCATCACGTGACTTTTTCCAATGGTTTTATTAGAGCGCGCGAGCAGGGCCATACGGGTCATATGATAATGTAGCTTAACTGCCACTTATATTGTACATAACATATGTGATAAAAAATAAAAGAAAATAAATTGACTTTATTTAATGAGGGTGACATACTGTACATCAATGGTAGCCCAGTAGTTTCCATTATGGCCCTCCTACAATTAATGAAACTGAAATGAATGATCAAAGAAACATAAAGTGTGTTAAGAATCCCAACTGGCAAGGAGGCAAACCAGTTGGCTATTTACAAGCATGGTCGAGAAACTGAATCTGAACTAATCAGGAATTGGGACAAATGCAGTCTCGGCTTGTGGCCACCACGGGACTCGAATGTGGCCCCACCAGATTGTGAGACCGATGCTATGACTACTCGACCATGCCGCCTCCCTCGAATATGTGATTTTTTAAATACTAGTTATACAATAGTTTTAAGTGGCATACCATAGAATGTCCTAAGAGTCACTTGTATTTTCTAGTATACTCACATATACTCATGCCATCGAAAAATAGCTGCAATGTCTGACGGGAGGGAGGTGGGATACCACAGGATATGAATATATGTTGGCTTTCCTGCGTTCTGATGGGCTTTATTTTCAATGATGTGGGATGATAAGCAATACATGTTTCTGCCAATGATGTCACAATTCTTGGAAATGAATGTCCATTGTTATCACATGGTCCTCTCACTTGCTCCTGAAAAGTTTTGGGGGGATTTCAAATTCAAGGAATGCAAGAAATATCAAATTAAATAGGGGCTTTGTCTGAATCTGGGATAAGTAGGTTATTTTATTACAGAGGGACAGTTCTATTGCTTCTATCAATGATAAACACTTCATAATCAAAACACATAGCCAAAGGAAATCACTCTATTATTAGGGTACAATCCTCACTTAAACGTTAAAAATCTGAGTATAAAAGCCTAAATTATCTAATTTAAATGTAAACATAAATTTTAATTCAGATATGTAATATATACAGTATGAGTGGCCGTGTTGTATCAGCTAACAAACATATCGGATACAACACGGACATGAATACTGTAGATTACTTATCAAACGTCTAGGTTAGTTACTTTGTGTTTCGCTAAAGTTTTCAAAAATGAACACAGTTTTGTATCAGATTTACAACACTCTTCACGGTCATAATTTGTTGTGTTTTCCTCATGAATTATTAATGAGTTTGATGAATACATATATATATATGCCTTTTTACCTCAAATATCAATTTTCTTACTTTCTGATTAGTTGAGAACCAACCTCTTTGTGAGTACATAACATTTTGACCAACTGTTGTTGGTCAAAATGTGGTAAGTATTGTGGTAAATAAGAGGACATTCTAAACCATTGGAAATTTGTTAATCAAATTTTATAAGTTTTTTGCTTTGTTTCATTCTGTTATGCAAACTTGGTAATGTATATTGAGGCAGTGTGTTGGAACTGTTAATAACAATTATAAGCTAATTAGTAGTTAGAGTACAAAGAAAGCAAATGTTTTCATTATTTAAGACTACTGTCTATTTCAGGGCTCCAGGGAAGTCTCTTCCAGGGGGGGGTTACACTCATGTTGTCATAGGATAGTGTTCTGTTATACTGTTTCTATCAACATGACTAATCATTCTTTTTGCTGTTTAAAGCAAAGGGAAGATCAGGAGAAAGCGATCTAAGCCAGTGGAAGACGAAGGAAATGTGAGTAACACAACATTTTTGACTATACATGTACATAAATAAATAAATGAAAAAGCACTTTCCCAAACTAACCATAAAGACAGAGAAGCATGGGTGGCGTAGCGGTAAGAACGCCTGCTCTCACCAATGCGACCCGGATTCAATTCCCGACAAGCTTGGTGTCGTATGTGAGTAGAGTTGTTTGTTGGTTCTCTCTTGTGCTTCAAGGGTTTTCTGGGTTATCCAGTTTTCCTCCCTCCGCAAAAATCAACTACTAAATTCTAATTCGATCCTAGGAGATATTCAGGCTAATCTCCATTCGCACTCACTGATGCAAATAAATTAGTGTTTTTTAAGATCAAGATACACCTTGATAGTTGATTCTTTTCTGATAATATTGTAAATCACTAGTATCACTTCATTATATCAGAATCTTGGACATTGACAAGTACAGATATGATGTATAAAACCTGATAAAATAAAAGCCCTTTAAGTATATGGGATAATCTATTCGAGGTTGTGGAAAGTGGTCAGTCTAGTGGGTGAGCTAGGTCCGAGTCGTATCAAAGAATATAAGCCTTCAACTAGTATTTGCGACTTTCTGATGAGAGATTCACCAATTTTCATACATCGGCTCACCTGAAAAACATAGAGCATTCAATTGAAGGTTCAAGGAACTTTCAAAGGATTATTCACATTTTACCCTTGCAGCCTTGACTGAGTGCTTTGTGTTTGACTAGTAAACTTATGTATTGAAAGTGATGAATGGCGAACATCATCTGAAACGTCGAAACTGTATATCCCAATTCCGAGATATGCTTTGCTTGTCAGGCACAAAGGTTTCAATGTGAGGCAACGTGCATTATGCTCAGTGTTTCGTGAAAGAAGAAAAAAATAAACAATGTGACAAGGGAAACAAATCTCGGAAGTGGGCTATTGATGGTTTTCAACCATTCCCAAGAGAAATAAATAACAAAAGACACGGCAGCCATGTTGGAGGATATAACAAAAGAATTCATTGGCAATTCTTTTGTTAAGTTCCTCCAACATGGCCGCCGTGAAAACCATCAATTTGTTTAGGAAGATAAGGGTCTGATGTACAGTGTGAGGCAAGATAACTCATTCCGCTATCACTCATTTTCTTTAGCCTTCTGACGAAAAAGCTGAAGTAGATATCGAAGGTGTCGAAACTACAGATGACACACCTACAACTGAATCAAAACAATCTCATGACGAGATGCCAGACACGTCTACTGAACAGCCAGCGGAGTCGGCGAAAAAATGGCGAAAAAGAAGAAAAACTAACACAGATACTTTGACAGAAACTGACCAGAAAAAGGTTTCAGAAACTGTTGTCGATGAGCCAAGTGCTTGTGCAAGTGTAACCACTGAAACTACAGAAATAAAGCAAAATAATGAGATATGTACTACGAGTGAAACAACAGCTTGCTCTCCTGAACACAACATGACAGAATTGTCTGTAGAGATCCCAGAAGATGAACTTGCTATCAAAACTATGCCTAAGTCACCAGACTTGCCAGTCTTAGAGGAAGCTATCGATTCTCAAGAGCAAGAAAACCCCCCTGAAAACCCCATAGTCTCGTGTTCAACTAATTTGCCAGTCTCGAGTGAGACTGACGCTCCCACCATAACAGTTAAAACGGCTTTGCATTCTCCGCCTCATGTTTCGCCCAAAAGACTTCAGTCATCAGACACTAACACATCTGTTTTCACGCCAGAAGAACGAAAGATTGAACAAAAGAATTCACAGCTTGAGAAGAAAAGTATAATGTCCAAATCTTCACATTTTGACTTTCTTGCAAATAGTATCATTATTACAGACGTAACGACTGAAAGGGGGACTGTGACTGTTAAAGAGTGTTCAGCTTATGGGGATTTCTTTGGTCCTGACCTCGAGAAGGGACATTAGAAGTCGTTCATTCAATATGCCATTAAAAAAAGCTAGCAAATAGCATGTTACAGATTTGCCCAACGTTTCGTAGATGGTCTCAATAAAATGTCGATGAAATACTTTGGCAAAATTCTGTAATATGAAATGCATGGAACAAATTCTACACCTATAAACAGTTAATTCAAAAAACGTTGTCGTTGACCAACTCAAGCCTACGCGACTGGACCAAAAGGAACTCTGGGTAGCAATCAATTTTATCTGACTAGTTATGCCTGGTTTACAGCACGAACCTTCGTAGGCGCGAGCGGGAAGTGTTGGAGGAGACGTTTTTTTAATGCCTTCATATTTTCGGAATTGTGAACTGAATCATAACTACTTTATATTTCTTTCCCTAAACCCAAAGACATGCATTTGATGGATTGTTTCTCGCCATTATCTTATTACTAGCGGGAACAATTAATTCAGAACGAATATTTAACCACTTCAGATTTTTACCCATATGCCACTCGGTCCAGTCGCGTAGGCTTGAGCCGGTCGACGACAACGTTTTTTGAATTGACTGTATACATACATGTATACATCGGTCGTTTAAGAACTTAAAAATATTATCAAGACTTTTTCGAGATATCTGTCTGTCTTTATTTATTTACAATTATGCTTCTGGCAAAGCCAGTGACAATTCTAAACTAGATTCCTTTGAATATAAGATATTATTGGTACCTGCTTGACGAAAAAAATCGGTGATTAATCATTTAAATCAGAACAAAACAAAAATAAAAGATTATTTAAACTTTAGCTACTTTGAAGGATGTCCACATAATCGCGTTGTTTCGCCTGAGGGGGTGGGTGGCCGGGTGGATCGAGCTGCTGATGGCTATACTGATCCTCGTACGCACCATCGTATGCAGTCATCCATCTATTAGTAATTAGTTCCTTTTCTCATTTGGTAAATACCGCTGTGACTTTTTGATTTTTGTGCAATCATTCACAAAAGTCAACTGTAATGTAAAGAACGTTAAAGTTGAATCCCACTACGAACTTTTAATGGTAGCTGTGAATAGCTAACTTACAAACGAGGCCGTGTCAGACTGTGGTCTAACAGCAGTATGCCATCGAGCACGAAACAACTTTTGTATTGTGACGATCGTGAAACTATTAAACCCGTGTCCATCAGTGACTTTGTAAGGTCTTTCTCCGGTTTTCCTCCGTCAAAAATCATCCAAACTCCAATTCAATCTTAAGAGACATTCTCTATAGGGTTAACTCATATCTTCTTCTTTCGCACTTCATTGCGAATCCTTTCTAAGATTTAACCCTTTGTTAAACGACGCATAACCTCATCTTGAAGCTACTCTTGAATGCGAGGCCACAAGGGGGGAATCTACTGATAAAGGTCCATGGTTACGAACACATTGGAAACGCACACGATTTAATCTGGAATGTGATACAATTCGATTCCTGGTGTCTACTGCGCATGCCTGAGTATTGGAGCCAGTGAGGGGTTAGATGAATTGTAGGCTAGAGGAGAAATGGGCCTACTCTTCTATTGATTGTTTTATTTATTCAAACTGGCCATCAAATCCCACGGGAGATGATATAATGATATGCAAGAGCATATAACAAGGAACCTACAATTAACCTATTGTTATTTGCCCAAACCGACATGATGAAGAATATCGAACCTGGTAACTAAATGGTATGGTGCCACCGGGTGCAGTTAACTTCAATCTGGCTCTTAATTGGAATATATATCGAGGAAGAAGCCATAGTAAGCCAGACAGCCGATTTTTCTTTCCCCAGTCCCACCCGCGTCCTTTTTTCCTTCAGAGTCTCACAAGCTCTGGCCTTTGTCTCTCCGGATCTACTTCCATTGTTCCGCCGATAAATCTTAATCATTCCCAATCCTTAATCATCGATTCGTGGGACAATGGCCAGTTTGGATATACTACTATCCTGCCGGCATGGAAGCAGAGAAAGGGACTGGGGATAACCGATCTGTGGTATCAGATTTACACCTCATCTTCCCTAAAATAGGTACATTCGCAAGCTTTTCCGTAGCTTGTAATATTTATATTTAAAATCTTGTCCCTTTTAGTGTTAATAACGGTCGAACTACATGGAAATAAGTAGACAACTAGTCATGATATTTCTTCGAAGTGGAATGAAAGACAATGAGATATATACCAGATTAATGCAGTAAAAAAATGGATTATTTGTGTCTTATGGAATGTTTGGTACAAACAGCCAGCAGAAAGTTTATACTTTTGGTCGTTAATGACAACAGTGTCAAAATTAAGGCAGATCTGTCATCTCGGCCACTCGACCTTAGCAGGTGATGTCCGGTTTTAGGAGCACCATCATTTGTTGACTAGCAAAGATACCAACTCCCATACATATCATATATTGCAGGGGTAAAGGATGTAGTGCTTTACAGCTGTTGTACAAATGGGAATGGCGTCCTCTTTGGTGATTTTGGTTGGTCTTTGTCTGACTGTTAGTTTTGCGAGAGCTTCATTATCCACTTCCAAGCCAACAGGTACTGCAAAAAAACGTGTTTCATTACTTCACACTTAGACGGATAACTGAACAGATATTTAGCTAACAGTATTATATGATAGTGGTTCTTAGTGGTTAATAGTCCCTTTACAGTTCCCTGCATTATCTTGAAAGTTAGTCGTGCCGTTGCACTGAAAGCGAGACGAACGGTGACCTTGCAATGATCAGTAGAGACAAACATGTGTGAATAATTGCCCAAGGTGTTAAAAAGCACGGCTAACTTTCAAGATGGCGCAGGGAACTGGGAAATGGACTATAGTGGTTAATACAACATTCGGTGATCATCAGAGAGCTTAGCGACCTAGCGACGCACGTGAATGATGCAACCTCACACATAATTCATCGGCCACCGGGCTCAATGTATTCTTTGTTTGTCAGAAAAATCGAAAAAATAACAGTAAAACACTACTGCTGACAGCGTTTTTCTCCGTGTGAGTGACTTTGAAGGATAAAGATATTTACTTATGGATTATTTATCTGGACCGTGGAGCAGAGTTTTTTAGTGATGGAACTAATCCGGGGGGTCCGCGGGTTTCAGCATGCACCGCGGACTTGAAGGGTGATTCCCGTAGTCATCATTATAAATATGCATATATAACAATTATAATGATCCCACGTCGGAGTTGCAGCCAATTGATTGCAGGTAACATAACTGCACTGCGTTAAACAGAACGGGCTTGCATAATAGAAGCTTTATTGCACTATAATATCCTTACTGATTTTTGTTTGAAATATTCCCTTAAAGGATCATTTAAAATGTTGGTAATCGTGAATGTTTTTGTTTTTCAGAGCACAGAAGATTTCGCCGTGGCTTTCGCTCGTACTTTTACAATTACCTTGATGAGATAGCCATGTCGATATGTGCAGCCATTCCATCTGATGGACCTGGTCTCATATATGCAGTAAGACGAACTTGTGGTGAAGAATCAAACTGTAAAAACATCTGTACGGATCCCAAACTACGACAACAAGGTCCAGAGGAGGTTCGAAAGCTAACGTGGGCGTGTACTGAATCATTGCACGTGTACAAAAGACAACCAGCCCTGGCAGATAATTATGATGACTATACAGATTCGCATAAGCTTGGACTGGCTGTGTTTAGACATCATTCATGTACTGTAGCTGGGTGTGGACCAAACTACTGCTGCTGTAGGGCAGTTGCTGTATAGCTCAATAATGAGTTTGATAAGCGAATACATTCCACAAGCCGAGGTTTTATTGTTCTTTGTAATGTGTAATATTTGCGTCATAGAAACGCTTGTAATGCAATAATTCGTTGTTGCCCTCGAATCTACAATCTTCTGCAAAATAATGTGCCACTTTCTCCCCTTTCCCCCTAGCAATGTTGGTCAAGAAAGTTTTCTACACTGTGAAGCGGTTGGCTGGTAAAATACATGCGAGACAACATTGCTACGGGGGGAGAGGAGGGATGGTTCTCTAAAATACTAGGTGGCACATTTTATTTTGCAGAAGATTGTAGATATTCTCTAATTTCACATCCCCATAATCCTTTGCGTCTTTGGGGGGTAACCAGAGGGTAAAAACCCACTTATTTTGCTGAAGGCTGATCAGACAATGTTGACAATACCTTGTTTGGTATCCAAAAATAAAATGAAGAAGTAAAAAACAGAAAAAGATAGAAGCTTGAAGACGTTTAAAGTAAATTTTAAACATTTTTAGATTGTTTTAGACCGACATCTTTTAGACCGGCATTGTTTCGTGGTCACTCAAACGAATTTGGCAATAGTCTATAAGGGGACTCCATATTCTATGTTCTATTCTATACTTTCTTGAGCCTTCACGGCTAGAAAAGACTATTTAATGAATAAATCCAATCTTTATGAGCTTAGCAACGAGAATTTCTTGCGGCATAAGCTTCAATGCAAATTACGTATAAACTAAATTATTATAATAGATGTTGTTGTCCTTAACATTTAGACTCTAATTCTCCTACAATAGAGAACCGGTGACAAAACGATCTGCATCTTGCATAGATAATCAGTCAAGCTTTTGAGACTTGATTGTCTTAGTGAAGTTTGGCCACCTCAAAGAACCGTCGATCGTTTGAGATAACGTAGTTTCTCATAAGAGGCAAATATTGTACCTCTAGAATATCCTGGCAAAATCAAATATGGAGGATGAAAACCGGTGGGATTCGGTAGAACATAATGGTGAGGATATCAAAAGTCAGCGTTCAACTTTTCAAACTTTTGATCAACCTTTACGAAGTCAGAACAGCATTCATATTCCTGGTCACATACTAATGCCACCTTCTAGTCTCATGGCTCATCCTTATTCTGACGCCGTTCACCCATTTGAAAACCAGCAAGGAGAATGTAGCGTATCAGATATTCGTAGCATAAGCGCCACTCAATGGTCCGCCGACTCGTCAGCCTTATGGAATCAAACCAGATATAGCTTTGGCACACCAGACTTGGAGAATGCCTTCCCTACTGTATTTGTTAAGGATCGACGTCGTTGCAGTCTAGCAAGTATTGGTGGAGAACTTGCAAAAAGACCTGTTATTGTTGCAGCATTGCCTATTCTCCCAGTACAAGCAGCTGTTATTTGTTTAATTTTCAATATTGTAATCCCAGGTCTAGGTAAGTTGGTTATCTTGTTATTTTGTTTAAAGTTTAAGAGGATTTCTATTAGTAGCCGGCGGATGATTATTTATATATTATGAAGCTAGACCAATCATTTACGCGACACTAATGACAGTATCTAAAGACTAATCAAGGACTTTACTCTGGCACTTGGGCTTTATTTAACATTAAAACCTAGCAAGAGAAAATGAACTCCTCCGCTCCGAGCCTCCGCTCCTCTTGGTCAGCTTAAAGGAATGATCAACAGGTAGCCCAAGCTGGCTATTGATGGTTTTTACAGCAGCCATGTTGGGGATCAGTCATTAGTCTCTTTTGTTATGTCATCCAATATGGCCGTCGTTTCTTTTGTTATTTCACTCTCTTGGGAATGATTGCAAACCAGCAATTAGTGTTGATTTATCGTCAAAATAACGTAAAAAATTAAAATTCAAAATTTCATACCAATAAAGGTCTTACCTGGCTTACGTTTTCTTTTGAGTCTGTGAAGTTTCAAGCCATTTGCATCGATATTGAGCGACTATCGTAGTGGAGTATCATACGTACCAAGAGAAAATGAACTAAGAGAAGGAATCCCCCCTATATAGTCTTGTAACCATCATGTGCACAGTTTGATGCTATTTTTAAACCATTTGTTGTTGTTTTTTTTTGCACGCGCATTTACTGCGCGCGCTCTACGCTGTTTGCTTACGTTTTTGGGGTTTTTCCGTTATTTCGACTCTGCCCTGAATATGAATGTGCACGTCGAAAGCTTGGCAAATACGACAGGAAATCGAAGTCGTAATTTGTTCAACTTTCTGGAATATTTTTACATTTATTTTCCAAAGCTTTCGACCTACATCGTCATCTTGAGGCAGATTTAAACATTCGAACATAAGAAAAGCACAAGAAAACGTTAGCAAACAGCGTAGAGCGCGCGCGTACTATGCGCGTGCAGAAAATCAAACGATCAAATGAATGATATCATTGCATGATATTTTTAGAATAGATTCTAAAAATAGCATCAAAGTGTGCACATGATGGGCACGGGGATTCCTTCTCTTAGTTCGTATTCTCTTGAACCTAGAGATTAAAAGCGCGTCCTTTTATATCTGTTCACTGTTAACTTAATATCCAATCGTTTTATGAAGTTACGCCTTATGATGGCTTTTGATTTTTGTCGGTATATCCGAGTGCCGCTGCGGTCTGCGCAAGTATTTGTCTTGCTTTCCCTTTCATATACAGTCAATTCAAAAAATGTTATCGTCGACCAACTCAAGCCTACGCGACTGGACCGAAAGGAACTCTGGGTAGCAATCATTGAAGCCGAGTTGACT